CTCAAGTGGTAGAGCACTAGCCTTGAGCTGAAGAGCTGAGGGACAGCGCCCAGGCCCAGAGTTCAAGCCCCACAACCGACAAAAAAAAAAAAAAAAGAAAGTGCATGTGATGTCTATTTCCAATTAACCAACAAAAAGCCAAAAGTGAAGCTGTGGCTGAAGTTGGTAGAGCACTAGTATTGAGCAAAAAAGCTCAGGGATAGCTCAGGCCCTGAATTCAAGTCCCAGGACAGTAACCAAAAAATTGATTGTATAGGATGATAAGATGTGTAAATCTACCCGTGGATGATGATAATTCCATTTGTCTATATTCAAATGCTTTGAAATCATGGATGACAAAATGATGTGTACAGAATCAGAGGTATAAATCATATTCCTTAGGAAGTTACTTGACTCCTTGGAGTTCATTTGCCTTATCTGAGTGAATAGTGATTTGTAAGTTCAGAAAGAGTTACTCCTATAACATGAAAAGTAACTAGACTAGTGTTTAGTCTACAGTCAAGTGCTCAGCAAATGTTCTTGCTGATCTTCCCTTTAGAGTAAATACTGTCTAAATTACCGGAAGCTTGTAGCATGTGTGTCTCAGAAGATCACGTGACCATAGATCACTCCCTATGAGAAAAGCGTCAGTGCTGTTCCTAGCAGTGCTGTAAACATGACTACAATTCTTCTTATGTAAGTTGAGGCTGCCACTTTTATGCATGAACACAGTTGCCCCTGGCCTGTTTCTTTTTGGCTGACTTCAGTGTGCCATCATGAAGGCAGCTTCATCTGCCCCTGCACCCCCTCCTCCAGCCAGAGCACCTGCACACTGCTCCTCAAGCACCCCTCATCTTGGGCTGCCCTCACTCATTATCCAGACGTTTTTTCAAGCCCTTATCTTGTACGCCATCTGTTCTCTAAGTGAAGTCCACCTAGGTGAATATGCAAGAGGTTTTTATTTTGGGGGGGAGGGGGTTGTTGTTGTTGTTGTTGTTTGTCAGTCATGGGGCTTTAACTCTGGGTTTGGGCGCTGTCCCTCAGCTCTTCAGCTCAAGGTGAGTGTTCTACCACTTGAGCCATAGTGCCACTTCTGGTTTTCTAGTGGTTTATTGGAGAAAAGAGTCTCACGGATTTTCCTGCCCGGGCTGGGTTTAAACCATGATCCTCAGATCTGAGCCTCCTGAGTAGCTAGGATTACAGGTGTAAGCCACCAGTGCCCGGCTTCCAAGAGTTTTTCAGGTCAGCAAATCTATTCTCATGGCAGTTAGGTAGTATTTTCTTTGTTTACTCTGTGGACATTTATACTGATGATACAAATGACAGGTGAACTTGCTGCCACCCTCCCTTTCATCATTTAAAGTAATGGCGCTGTGCACTTGCAGTTTCCTCCAGAAAATAGTTTCACTTCTCATTGGTTTTGATACAGGTAGTAAAAATCATTGGCTTCAATAATATCCAAAACAGTTTTAATATTCTTGGTGTCTACATGGGAAGTATGCATAAAGCATTGTGCAGTGGAGTTAGCTGAACTGACCGCTGACGGCTGACTCACAGATAAACTATTAGAATTCAGAAAATGAGTGATGCAGCTACCGAAGAATAAAGGACATGGTTTTAAGCTAAAATTAGAATTTTAGAAAGCTTGTATCTATCACAGTAAGCAAGACAGCATC